TTTATTTTTTTAGTACAACTGTTAATTATTTGATTAATTAAAATATTTTATTGCACGAATGCTCAGTTTATGGAATGGGGTTTTCTAAGAGACTATAGCATACAGGTTCTCTAAAAAAAGGGTAAAGAGGTTTCTTCAAGGTCGGCAACGCGTAATGCATCTGGTATTGTAAGCATTCATAGGCTACGGTAACCGCTTACCATCAGGTGGGTTGTATGCTTGTTAGCCACCTCAGTGGTATAAAAATACTGTTAATTAATTAATTAGATAATTTGTTTATACTTTTGCCTCGTGTTGTGAATCAGCTGAGATTAATTATTAAATAATGATAAAGTAAATGATAAATAATTATAGTAATTCGTAATCATAAATCAGTCAACTTGGGGTCTCATTCATGATGGTACTTGACAGGTAACTAAACGAATGTAAATACTTAATACATAAAATTACATATTTTAAAAGCGTGGACTTTGATTGTGTGTGTTTTTGTAACCAAAACATTACTTAACTTTTAATCTTTAACCTTTTAATTATAAACGTATCTACAAATAAACATCGATAAAATTCTGACAATAGTCAGAGAAAATATTCAAATATATCTTTGTATTTATTTTTTTATCCAAGTGCTAAAAAGAGTTAGCATACCACGTGTAATAATTCCGATTAATAAAATAATTAATAAAATTATAATTAAAAAATAATCATAAATATCGTTTCACGATCTATAAAGTTAACTTGTAACAAATAAAAAATACCTCCAAGGTAAAAAACGCCTCCGCACCCTGTAATTTCACTGCCATATCCTTTTTTTATTTATTAAAAGGTTACAATCAATAACATTATAAACATTTATATAAAGATAATAGTTTGAACTAGATTGAGACCCAGACAGGAGAACAGGTGTGTTAAATTATAAATTATATAAAGAAAGCATATGAATGTGGTAAGTAACAATGAAGTACATGCAAATAACAAAAATACATAAAACTATGGACATGTCAAATAGACTTGATGGCTGATTCTAAAATGTTTTTGAAGGTATTTAGACGTGAGTAGAAGATATCAATTTGAGGACATTTTAAGTTTAATAAGTTTAAGTTTGCTTACGCTTAGTAAGCCACGCTTTTAAAAACAGAAACAGAAATTCAATTCCTTTAAAACGAAACAGAAATTCAAGCCACAGTTGCCTCATAAAAGAAACCTTTTAGTTTTTTTTACATATATTTTTTCTGTTATATTACAAAATTCGAATGAAGATATAGGCAAAAGAACTAGCAGATATAGCCCGAAAGGATAGCAAATGAACTGACAGTGGGCTGGCCGTATAATAATAAATAAATAAATATCAATAGTCGTTTTGCTCAACGGTTTTTAGTCCCTAACCTTAGTTAGCTTGCATTAGATAATTGATAACATATTAAGAATACTTTTACTTTTGTTAATACATAAATACGTAGAAAACACAACCCAGCGAACATAGACTCATATTTGGGGGGGAAAGGGATTGTTAGGAATGGAGACTAAGAATCCCATTGCTAGCAATATACCCAGCCAGGTCGACCTCCTCACGGTTCTCCCTGGAAACTATCATGGTTCATTTCTTATGAATTCATCATGATGGGCTAACTGGCCTGTTTTCATTCTCATCTATCACCCTTCACTGGTGCTCCGCCAGCGTATCCCGTTAGCGCAGGCGGGGTTACCATACCATTTTCACCCATAAAAAAAACATAGACTCATATTCACATTACATACTCATACTAACGAATACAAATGTTTATATTGTATGGGGATTGAACCTGCGACCATCGGTGATAAACCGCTATACCACAAAAGACGGCAGATAGACAAATGTGTCGTATATAATTCGAACATCCGATAACGGATGAGAAGAAAGGTTCTCGAGTGGCGACCCCGTATTGGCAAACGCAGTATAGGCTAAACCCACTACTAAATAGACCGATGACTTCAAATATATTATAAAGAGTTAGTGGCTAAGAATAGTTTTTTTTTTAATAGCTGATGACAGAATAATAACTAAGGGGGAAAGGGATTGTTAGATAATGGAGCTGTCAAATTCCATTGAGTTTGACAGCCCCATTGTTAGCAATATGCCCTATTAGGTCGACCTCCACGTGGTTCCCCCTGGAAATCATCGTGAACAATTCTTATTGAATTCGTCACGATAGGCTAACTGACCTGCTTCATCCTCACCTACCATCCTTCACTGGTGCCCCGCCGGTGTATACCGATAGCGCGGGTGGGGTTAATATTCCATTATCACCCATTAAAAAAAAAGAATAATAACTCCGCGTACGCTATTGATATACACTGGCGGGGGACCATGAGTGACGATGAAGTCAGGTCAGGTGTCCTGTCTTTGTCGAATTCACTAGGAAATGGCCACGATGGTTTCCAGGGGAGACAACATGGAGGTTTATCTGATAGGGTATATTCTTTGCAATCAAGTTGGTCCTCGTTTAATTGATATCAAACGTGAAATGATAAATCATGACGAAACACAGCAAGTCATCAAATTTTGCGGGTCAAATACGTAGTGACCTTTGGCAATCAGTAGATTAGGTACGTATTGTAAGACGGTCGCAGTAGGTATTCGTGTCTACTCCGTGCGTTTCCGTGCCCTTGTCGTGATCTTGAATAGTTGATCGCGCGAGCTGCTGGTGCGAACTGCAAGTGTCACTGTGTCACGCGCTACTGTGACTTATCTACCTACTAGTGATATTCGACGTCGGAATTGGAAAACGTATTAAGCGCCACTTTAGACAATATTGTTTTTTTTTAAACAACTTAAAATGGCAAACAAGCTGACGGCCCACCTGATGGAAAGTGGTAACCGTCGCCTATAGACATGAGCAATACCATGGACATAACAGAGTATACTATTTCACCCATGATACCCCCCATGCGTTGCCATTCCTGAGGACTCAGGTGTTATTCTTCTGTACCCAGTAAATTCACGCCATATCCCACCCTTCAAACCGAAACACAGACTAACCTGCCTATTAGAAAACAAAATTTTAAATATCTTTATAAATTTCCATATTTATAATATATACACATTAAAACATAGTATACTATGTCAAAAAGTATTTTTCAACTAAATTAAAGTAACTTAATTTTAATATTTAATTACAAAATATATGAAATTTAACAATATATGTGATTATACTCAAATTAGAAACCTTTTCAATAACTATAATAATATTTAAAACTTTAGTTATCACATAACATGTAATATGTAGTAAAACCAAATTTAACTTATTTTTCTGTGTATACACCACACAGAAAAAGAAGATAAATTTGTTGTCAAATACTGTGGACGAAAGGACTGTATGCTGGTATGGAAACACGGTGTTTTAGAAAGATAATATAATTATATAAAAAATATATATATAGCAAAAACCAACGGAGTAAAAAAGCGAACGAAACAATAACTAAAACTGACACAGACTTCAAATTACAAAGAAAACATCTTTTTAATAAAATTTTAAAAAGAAACTAAAAAGGTGCGTCGTGCACAAATACTATATTTTATAGTTTATTATTGAATGGAATAAAAATAAACATATAAAGTTTTACTTACATACAATGTATTTGTATAACAATCACCTTAATAAAAACCTCATACGACCTCTAGTGATCTAAATATTATTGTATGTGCCTTATCACTGTAAGTAATTAACTTAGGTATAATCTGTGCTCTTACTGTATAAATTTTCCCACTTATTAAAATCAGGAAGTCCAAATAGAATGAAGATATAAATAGTCAATAAAAATTATAGCTCGTTGAAGCAAATAATAAAGATGAACATTTTAAACCGAGTTAGGATTGGCGTTATGGAGAGTTAAAGTTTATATGTATTATATTATAATTCATGTAAACAATTTACATGAATTATAATATAATACATATAAACAAACAATATTTCTATAGCTCAAATCAGAGAGTTATATGAAGTGATTCGTTTAAAGTAGCTATTTTAACTGTCACTTTACTCGAGTGTGAATAACGTTAGCACTCTTAATTAACAAGATGTTAAAAAGATAGATATGTGATTATTGGGCGATTGGAGCATTAGTACTAATTTTAAATTTCATAATAAATGTTTTATTTAGTAAAAACTGATACATTGTGTTGTCAAAATAAAAAAATGGAATTAATTTATGTATCTCGTGCGTGTTTTATATCTCTGATGTGTATCGTTGATGCTTGTTAAAAAGTTTAGTATATTGATACATATATATAGTTATATATAATATATTGGATGATAATAAAATGGTAACCTTGTCTGCGCTTCGGTATACACTGGCGGGGCAACAGTGAGGGATGATTGATGAGGATAAAAAGGCAGGTCAGTTAGTCTATTGAGACGAATTCAACGATAAATTAGTCACATTGGTTTTAGGAGGAACCGCAATGAAGACTAATTTCTCCATTACGAGCCCTTTCCCCCTGTGTAATTATATTAGGTGTCTTTATCGCCTTATAAATATTTTCTTACAGTCAACTTGAAATGGTTATACCCTAAACATAAATTATATATTAATATTAAATTAACAATTTCGATTATGATGTAGGTCTGATTATTTCAGGACACAGTACTCGATTCCCATGATATTGCATATTATTATAGTGTTATAGTAAACACATAACTATCATGCTGGCTGTATGTTTGTTTTTATATTGTCTTTAAAAAATATTTCATAAACTAAATTATCCGAATGATATTTTACGTTCAAGCAGTTGTATTATAATTTTAATAGATGTATAAATATGTAAGAATAGCAACCGTCTGAAATATGATCTTGTTATCTTAGTTTATGTTTGGAATCTCGCATATAAATTATTGATGTTGCTATTAAATTAATTGCTCGATAATGGATAAGTCTCACTTATTTAGTATGATTTCACGCATCTCGCCCCAGTTGTTATTTAAAGTTCGATTGAGTTACATAGGGCTTGAAAAAAAAAACACTTTTACAAAAAAAAAAAAAATAAAGTGTTCAAGAGAAAAAGTGAATAATATTTATTAAAATATTTTAAAAAGTCATAAAACGTTGTAGAACTTGAAAGTAAAAAAAAACTTCGCCATCTGTGATAATTCGATCTCTTTTATTATTTAAAATAAAATGGATTTTCTGACACGCAAAGTCAAATCTAGCGGGCAATTTGATACACGTCAGTTGAATGGGGCTGGTGACTACAGCAAAAACAATCGGTAAGTTAATAATAAAAAGATAAAATTTCACTTTGTTGGAATATAATTTTACACGCAGATTCCTTTCTGCAGAACTAAATATGCGTAAAATTCGTCAGACTGTGACAGCGCTGTTAAATGGTAATTTATCTTATATTTTTTAATAATTTCTTCGATTTTCTTACATTATTTATAATATGTTTATGAGTATAAAAGTTTTGACTAGTTTTATTTTATTATTTTCTAAAATTTTATAACCGCTCAATTGCTTTTTTAGTTGTGTCGCAGGCTGTTAAAGCTGCTATCTTAAAAGGAGGAATTATTGGGTAAATCCGTTTTTAATAAAGTTGTGTATTAAATAGAAATTGTGATATATTTATATAGATATAATTAAAAATAGATTGAATTAGTTATATGTCATTAAAACTAAGAAATTTTGTATTTTTTTTTTGGTTTTGTTGTTGTTTTTACGATTTGTATGTATTTTTACGAAATTTTCAATATATGTAGTTACTACATAATAAATTATAATCTTGTATTAGCATTGTTTGTTGGTCGACATAATAAATAGTAAAATATTATAATGTTTTTAATAAAGCATTATTATTTGTAGTATTTGACTTGGACAAGTAAATACAAGAGTATAAGAATAGATTGTATCGCATGAAACTCGAGTGATTACAATTTTTTTAAGCAATATATTTACAAAGAGAGCACTATTTGAATCTTGAGAGTAGCCTAATAATACAGTATTACTAATACATTTATTTATCTAATGACTGACCGTCATCTCTTTATATGATAAAAAGAAAAGAGACGCTTATAAGTTAGACAACTCATGAATAAAATATGACATACTGTATATTAAATTAATAAATATTTATGTTTATTAAATTTAGTTATTTGGAAATAAATAATATTAAAAATGAATAGTAAATATTTAATACAAAAAACTGTTGGTTTTACGCACTGTCATTTAAAAAATACCAAGATTCTTTACGAATGATTTTATCTAAGAAAAATATATAAGACTGAAGTATATTAAATTTTTTTTTATAAATTTGCCGTTAAGCAATAGCGTGCAGGTATTACTGTTGATTGTCTATAGAATAATTAGCGAGTAGAACGTCAAGAGTAATCATACTAATCATAGACAGAAGACATAAGAGGCCCTACTAGCATTTAAATAAATCTGTTACACGAGAAGTGACCATACTGGTTACTTCACTGTTACGTTACTTATAAAAATCACGCTACTCAGTAACGGAACTTTAATTAACTTACTACAAAAATGATTATTAATTTAAAAAATAAGTATTAATTAGTGATCCGGTAGATTTATATTATAAATACTGAATTAATAAATGACAATGTGTTTTGTATAATATTAATATAGTTATAGAATTAAAAGTATTATACATTTCATTCTGTCTGTAAACGAGATTTATTACTTTCAATCAACTAATTCAATTTTATCCGTCCATAATTGGCTGATTGATTCAATTATTCACCTTTACATTGCCTAAATGACTAAAGGAACGAGACTATTTTACCAACTAATTTTGAGTACTTTCGACGAAAGAGATGATGCAATGGTGAAGTAATATTGCGAACTTTTTCCCAAACATGTCTCTGTAACGGTCTTGCTGCGATGAAATTGCTACAATTATGGAATACAACTTGCACGATTTTCGCAGTCTTTATCTTCAACAAAATAATAACCCACAGTCATAAGATATGAGTATAAATATGGCATGATAAGTAAGACGAGTTTAACAGTTCTATGCCATGAAAATAGTGTGTACTATGTATGAGATTTTTTTTTAATTTATAGCTAAATTGTTCTCTATGGCTATATCTGATTAAGAATAATTAAAAATATAATTTTACACGTAATTTTTTTTTTGTAGAAACGGTAGATGTACAATAATTTAATTCTTGAAAAATAACATCTAGTATTATTTTTTAATTAAGATTTCAAATTCCTTTTGAGTACATTACCAATAGTACATCTTAATTTAAACTAAATTCTAGGTGTATTTACCTAGAATTTAGCTTGAATTAAGTAATCTACAATTGAAAAAAGAAAATGGATTTGCACAAGACAATTTAAATTTTAAGAAAGAAAAGGTTTAATATTTTTAAACTGTAACTAGTGTACCTAATGTTTTGTCAAATACATAAAAGCTTTATTTTCAGATAGCAGGGCATATGAGCTGCCCTTGTAAGCAGAGTGGCAGAGACTGCCCCGCTATACTGAGTTGTAGGTAGGCAGTAAATCACCCAGTAGTAGTGAGAACTGTTGGTTCTGTCATATTGTTATTCTGCATTACTTTGATTTGGTAGCTTCTATTTTAGTTTCTATAAAGGTATTGTTTAATCTAAAGGTAGAAACTATTTAAGGCGTTAATTCTTTATAGTTTTTATCCGTGATTTCGTCTATGCCATTGGGATATATTGATTTGCAAGAATATAAAGTAGTCTTTGTACTTCAACATCCCAAATGCTATATGTATACCAATTTCCATAACATTTGCTTAAGTATCAAGAGCTAACAAATAAATATATAAAACTACTGTTTATTATATACTGTTTATAATACTACTAGCTGTTTCGCGCGGTTTTACTCATGTGAAATATACGAGTATATGTACTACATTCGTATACCATATTTAATTTAAATTCGTTTAGTAGTTTCTGCGAAAAATAGTAACAAACGTTTATTTATACGTCCTTAGTAATTTTCGCCTTTATATTAGTAGTATAGTAGGGTTAATAGAAATAATTTTTTTTAGAAATCATAGATAAAGTGTAGAAATTATAGAGCTTATAGACACAGCATTAATATATGTAGGTAAGTTATTCATACTTTGTAGATACTTTTAGTATAATTATTGTTTATCTCATATAGAGTTCGGACTTCCGTGATTTTCCGTATCTCTGCGAAGTTATATATTTATTTTTATATAAAAATATTCTGCCATATTTGATTTACGTCATTTAATAATATTTATACTACGAATCATTATTTGTAGTTTTATAGTATCTATGACATTTTTTTGCGCAATGTCGTGATAAGATCGGTATCTATATTAGACTGTATATTTTATTATATTACTGTTTGTTATTGACGATAGGCAATAATAAATGCCGATGTATTTAAAAAATGTGCCACATATTTTACAAGATCTCGCAGTGATTCATTATTTTGATTATAATAATTTCTGGCCATCTATATATGTATAGACATGATGATAGTAACCTCATAATAGTAACCTAAATAGATAGTAAGATAGAATAGTAACCCCTCCTTCGCTAACTGTATGCACTGGCGAGGCACTAGTGAGGGATGATAAGTGAGAATGAAAAGGCAGTTATCCCATCGCACAGTGGGAACTTTGACTTATTTTCATCTCATAAATTTATAACTTCCGTATTAATAAAGATATGTACATGGTTTTTTTTTTCCTGATAATCTTAAATATATATGCTTTATATATTATAAAGCATATATATTTAAGAATATATATATTAAATATAATTTATTTCTAATAATTATAAATAATATAGGAATACAAGAAATATAGAATTTGTAGACTTACATTTATGTCCTAAGAAATTTATACAGGAGTAAGTAAAAGTATCTGCGTAAAAAACAAAAACTCTTATAAAGATAGCTTACAAGTTACTCAAGAGCTCCTTTGCTTCATCAAAAAGTTCAAAATATTTTTTATTGGAAGGTTTTCTTAAACTTGTTATGTATGGGTCAGAGGTATCATCAGATATCAAGCAATCCCTTGTTTTTCCGTTTCTTTGTACTCTCTGAACTGTCTTCGTACGTTTTAGAAGGTCTTCGCATGTAGCTGCCATCCAACCAATTGCTATTTTGATTCAAAAACTGTTCTTTCTTTCAACCACATTTCGTATAGCGTTGACGAAACTGAGTTATGAAGGACTTCTGAATACTTGCGATAGTTTTTGCTATATTCACATCTGAAGATTCGGTAAAATTATTTCGTATATAGTTTGAGATAGAATCAACATAATTTATATCACTTTCAATCAATAAGAGAATTAAGTCGCGTCTGGTACACGAGAATTCACTCATTGTGGAGAGATAAGTAATTAACAATTGTTTAGTAATGACAAATGCTTATGAAGAACTGTAATATTTCATATGAAAATGCACTGTTTTATACTTAATAACATGTGTAAAATTATAGTATAGAATAGGTCTGTATGGGAATGGAAACTAAATACTGTGTGAAAATAAATACTTGTTAAAAGTAACGCAAAAAATAAAATATAAAGTAATAATTGAGCCAAAAACATTTTTTTGAGTGTCCAGACAGAGAATCTCAAACAAAGAAAAAAAAATCTCACCATGATATTATACTAGATTTAAATATATTACGCAGTGAAACTGCAAAAAAAGTGTTTTGCTATTAAATTACATTATATTTCCTAATAAATAAAACCAAAATCAGAACTTCGGTAAGCTTCGGTAACTGTCAAATCTCCAACTGAAAGTTTGAGAAAAGAAAATAGTACATATAACGATATATTGATTTTTGGTTAGGTAATATTTTACTAAACTAAATATATTTTTATTTTATAATAAAGTACACATTCTAAGCATTCTAAAACGGTAAATCACACTATATAACTTCTATTGTTTTGATATTATAAAATTATACCAAACGAATTTAAGTTACATAATTATTTTTGTATTTTTTTTAATTCCTTGACTTTAATGCTGTGTTCTATAAATATGAATAGTCAGAGATTTGAATCATATTTATAATGATAGAGTAACTCTTTAGCTACAATTTGAGGTATTATACATACATGTCCACGGAGTTTTAGAAAAAGTATTTATTAGATGGCTTTCTTAGGCGAGTTCTCTCTGTGCATCGTGATGAATATACCAGGAATCCAGCACAATGGTTTCCAACTGGGACCACGTGGAGGTCGACCTGACATGGTATATTGCTAGCAATGGGACTGGTAGTCCGCATTACCAACAATCTCTTTCCCCCTATACACGCGACCAATTTAAGTGAATCTAAATAGTATTCTCCATTTGATTTCATTACCTTTATTGTGTTAAAATTTAAAGCGGTTTATTGAACAAAATAATTTTACATTTCGATCGACCCAGATTCTAATATTCAGGATGCCGACGTGACCCAGTATTCAAGGCACTAGACCAATGCGCGTCGCAAATGGACTCTTATAAATAATTTGACAGCGTTATTGAAATACAGCCGGTACAATTTATGTGCAAATTGTATTTGAATTCGAGCTAGGATCTTGTTGAATATCGTACCAGTGGGTAACCACAGCAATGCATAGTGGAGAAGGCAAATCTCTTTAATATTACTAACATAAACACTTCCCTAAACTTTGGGTAAAATAATTCCTATGTTTGATTTTATGCCTACAGAACGTTCCAAAATACAGATAAAATATAGTTTGAATAATGACGTTTCTATTACATGACGCATTTAGGTGGGGGAAGGAGGGGGAGGGGGTGCTCACCTTAGAATTGTGTTGTGCCCACCCCAGGAACCAAGTGTGATTTTCAACTATACGCAGAGACAATACTAAGAGTACTATAATATGCTTTTTTGAAGGGGTCAGACCCAAGGAGATAATCTTAAATACACCAATGGTACTCACAGAAATAAATGTATAAAAATATAATTTAAAAAATCATAATTGCACTTATACGTCACGATGGAAAAAATTACTTACCTATAATATTATAGTTATATATTTTATATACAATAAATTTTGGATAAGTTCGCCATTGTGTTGTCTGTATAATTCATGTAAAAAAAAATTTATAAAAACCGTAATAACAAAAATAATATTCAAAGTAGGTACGAGTATACAGAGATTTATACGACTGAAGATTGAGACGTCTGAGACAATTGGGCCACGCCTCTCAAACGTAATGTCTCTCTGTAACGTACTTAGTCTAAGTTCATGTGGTGAATTTAATATTTAACGAATGTTTAGATTTGGCTTGCTTAGTCGATAAACAACAATAGAACTAAGAATATTATAATAGTCAACAAACACCTACTCGTTACTAACTTAGAAGTAAAAGATATAAACGGGGTTTATTCGTGTAATTTATTGCATTAATTAGTAAAAATCTAGTCTTACATGCCATTATTATTGTACAGTCAACCTATAGGAAAAGGAAACAATTATATACAGCTTTAAATACAGGAAATTGATAATTATTACATTTCCCATACTCTAACCGATAAGGGGATGTCAAGGACCTAGCGCCATCTACTATCGGGTGGCCGCAACCGCAACATGGTTCGTATCAATGTCGCTGAAAATTTTCCCGCTTTCCCAGGAGCGAAACCGCGGTGAGTCCAGCGCCCCCCGCGCAGCGAGACAAAAGTAGCGCTCCGTTCGTCGCCGCCAAGCAGTCGCAAGCGGCCAGCGGTGGAAGTTGTACGTACGACGTTATGGAGCGTGATCGCATCGGACTATGGGGCTCCGGGGACGGACAGTCGAACAGCCGACTTTCGGGCCTCGACCGGCTCAAACATCCCGGCCTTAACAAGGTACGTAGTCTTTACATAATGACAGATCGATGCCCCCGCGTAATACGATTAGGTCATGGTTTTACCGCCGCGACCGAGCGGAACTGCTCGTCTGACAGCAAATCGTCATATGGTTTGCGCTGATCGGTTTAGAGTAGTTACCGGTTTAATAGCGGTATGGATTCATATGTAACTAACTATTGTATTGTAATTGTACCGTTTGTTTTGAACACTCCAAGTCAAAGTTCACGAGCGAGGATTGCATTGTAGTGTATAAACATGTTCTTTGTTTTGTTTTGTATTATAAATACAAAACATTTGTATGGTGCTGATGATGGTCTCCTCGATATACCTAATAACAAATTTATGGAATTAATAAATTAATAGAAAAACCTGTTCCTAATTAATCAACGTCATATAAACAAAAAGTAATCAAACATTACTGTCTATCATTTGCTTAAAAGTATTTACTATACTTGTACCATGTCTATACGTATGAGTCTATACGTTTGTAAAAAGTTACGTTCTAAATCATTCACAAGTAAAACTACATATCAGCTGTATGCATATCATGAAATAGATTTTTATTTTTTCATTGAAAAATAAAAAAAAAATGCATACTTAATAATATTAGCATATCACACTTATCTAATCTAGTTTAATTTCAATTTCGTTTACTCAATTTAGTGAAAATATACACAGATATGTATGTACCTACATATTATTGCACAATATTGACATGATCTCGTTATATAAAAAATAACATTAACGCTTTCCAAGCATTTGTAATTGCATACTTATCCATAAACTTAGTACTTCAGTCAGTTTATCTCTTAAAATTACTGAGTAGGTATCTACAAAAAGATAACATTTACTTTTTTTTTTTTACTTTAAAATAAGAACGTAAGAGGTGTACTTACTTGGAGTATTATGACACCCATTCCAAACGGGCTGCTCATTTATTTTGACTATTCAGTTGTAAAAAAAAAAAAAACAAATCAAAGTGAATCTACAGTTATGCTTTGTAATCATGAAGGATCAAGGTGCGCAGTGCTGACACAGTTCATAAGAAAAATATTTTTCCATGACACTGAAACAGCAGTTTATCAATGTTAAAGTATATGTCTTGATTTAGTCTGCGGCGTGGAAGAAATATAATCAAAAATATTTCTCATCCAGAACATAATAATATAACAACAATAAACTTATTAGATAAATACTACTAATATATTACAGCTTTTAAATCACGCGATAAACACCTGATAATATATTCTACTATTATATTAGCTAAAATTTGACACACAAATTATGCCTTAAATTAATTATAGGATAATTTAAATACTTTTAAAGCATTTCCATAGATTAAAATATAAAAATTAAAATATTTAGCTCTGAATTAATCTCAATCCATTTCCAAGAAATTATATATAGTAGCCTTGCAACTATCCTTTAGTAGAATCTAAGTAAATCTCAATAATATCACAAATTTATTATTCACTGAATATTTGTAACGCAATTACTTCTAAGATATTTTTTGTTTCTGTTTACAAATTTCTATGTAGTCGTATAAAAAAAAGGTTTATTTATAATATAATATTTCATGACAACAATCTAATTTTCAAATAGAAATACGCATTTAGACTGCATGGTTCTTACTCAATTACACAAAACAGCCAGTTTCTTACTCCAGTCGGTTTCCCGTGGGAATAATTTGCAATCAAGAATACATGTATATAGCTCAACAACATTGCGTAATCCAGCTTTATGCTCAGTTTAATAAGGTCGCTAATTACTAAGCTCCTAATAACTCGAACTCTCGAACGAAATGGGGTCGAGATGGCGAGACAGACAGAAGCTGATACCTTTCCTGTATTTATGTATACCTATATTTCTATAATCTATAGGTACTATTTCAAAGAGAATATGTTCTTTGTTAGGTCTATTATTTTATATTTAAATATTATTGGTATCAATGGAATCACAGGAAACATTATGTACTTACTTTTTGTTGATTTTGTTTTCTTTAATAATAAACACTATAAACATAAAAATAAATGGGTATGGGGTGTGTTAGCGTCGTTTTAGACTACGGGATTTTGAAAATCCCGTGGAAACATATTTTCGAAGATAAATAAAAATAATCTTACCATGGTAAGGTTTTACTTAACAATATCGAAGCTGAGGCACCTATTTGAGAATAAAATTTAAAAATCATATTTATAAACTAAGTTGACTTAAAGCAAACGTATTAAACATAAATGTTTACCTAAAATGGGTACTTCGAAGCAATAAAATTATCACTGGCCGCTATAAAAAAAATGACGCATACAAATTTACCCAAACTCTTTTGTGTTTTTTAAAGTCAATTTAAGTAATCAAATAGTTCGATGTAAAAAAAAAATAGGTACATACCAACCTATGTTATGACGTCATATATACTTCGGATACGTATGATATGACGTCTAAAATTTTCATACCGCTTGCTAATGCAAACAAATAACCGGCAGCAGTGACTGGTATTTTTCCTCTTATATCATTTATTGAGTTGTAAGGCCATTTCCTGATTTTTGATACAATATTGTTTTAGTGTCAACTCAATACAGGTTACTTACAGAGATTATTATTAATCGAAGAATGCTTCAGAGCAGTGCATGCATTTCAGAGCACTCTATATATTTCAATACGCCATGTGACTTTTTAAAACAGTTTTCTTTATAATTGTCTATACCTCGCAGCTTGCTCGTGTAAAGTATTATATATTATACAGTATATATATATGTACTTATTTTAGTAGTAAAAGCACCGCCTACCTAATTTTCTGTTTATTTCATGGTTGACGGTCAGTGAATACCGTTAGGTTTTAAATTCGCCATATTTACTTATATAATTATGCATTGAAGTTTAAATAAATAAATTAAAATATACCAAATTAAATTTAAATCGTTAACTTTTTTAACCGCGAATTAAACGTGTATATATTTTTATAAACTTGCGTATTTTTTACTGCAATTACTAATACAGTATTTACCTCCTATGTTTCGTTCCTGTTTCTAGTTAGATGCATCGTAAACGCTCAAAGATGCTCTGTCTCTCTCTAGTAACCAGAGACACCGGAGATTAATTATTAGTTTTTATAGAGATTTTAGAGAGAGAAAGAGTTACTGTTGACAGGCAGAGATTATTTTTAGCGATAAGACTGTCTGTGTTCCATAATACATTATCAAATTTCTTTCTTTTTTTTTTCAATGTTTCAGTATTATTCGGGTTACGGTTAATTTGTTTTTATCGCGTAACGATAACAAAGGGGCAGTAAACTGTGGTATAAGATCCAGTGCTATCATCATTACAATACCTTTATTTATTAGTCAAAATAACACATGAGTGGTGTCTCAGAGGTGTGTTGATATCTACGGGGTTGTTCGTGTTTTTTTGGCAGTCACCACTTTTCATCAGTCAGTTTATATGCTTGATTGAATAAGTATCTAATTTTATTTTTTATGACATATAATGCACAAACAACGAACGCGAAAACTACTGTTACAGCCCACCTGATAAAACGTAGTACTAGTTAGTCACCTATAGACTTGAATAGCACCACAGACCTTACAGTCATAGCCGTATCCACGCCGAATTTTCTAGTGTCCTCTCCAAGCTGCGAGTGGAACTTTCAGCTATCCACAAAGAAATATCTATGAGAGTAATTACTCTAAACATGCATTTTATTTAAATGGTTAGGATTGCCTCTTAAATACACTGTAATCATTTATTACAGTGTATTATATAATGTCATGATACTCTATTGCTTTAATTTACTTGACCATGCAATACATAGTGTCAGAATATAAAAGAAAGAAACATAAAGAAATAGGATTTTTATATTAGAATTGCAGTCGTTAATACGTATAAGAAATTTAATCTTTGTGTAATAGAAAATACACGTTTGAGAGAATAAAGCTAGATAGCGGTACGTCTATTGTAACTGTAACACAAGCGGCTAGGCTTGATATTATAATATTGTAGCTATAAATTAGAAAGGTTATTTTATTTTAGTCAGTATAAATCTTAAACCTATTTCCTAATAGGTATTACAGTCATTAAAACGCATGATTTATCTAGTGGTTTAACGCTATAATTTTATTTCTTACTTGAGTTATTAGCACTTTAAGTTCCTTTCGTGGTTTGTTGAGGTGTGTTTCATTCGTCATTATATAGGTAATATGATATCTATTAGTGGGGGTGTTGTGGCTGTAGTTTGTTGGTCATTTATGACGCGTACGGTATTTCTAATGGGGATATTTTGCCATGTAAATATTTCCTTATATACGTATATCGTCATTTGAGGTTGTCGAGTCAATGTCTTAAGATGTCGTCATATAAGCGTTATCCCTGAATTGTTTAAGATCACTGATTGTATTATCAATTGAAAATGGTATCTTTAAATTGTAAAATTATCGTTCTACGTACCTTGTATTACATCATAAAGTAACCTTATGATCGTATCGTATATGAGTGACGAAGTAAATTTTAATACCAATTCTAAATTTGAAAACAAGTTTGGTAGTTTGATACCCAAGTTTGGCATAGAAATAGATTATTTTTATAAGCAAAGCAACAGAATATATTCTAATAGAGCTAGTTATTGATAATTGAAAACCATAACTTTGGTATTAACGTACCCACAGTACACTGTATGATCGATAGTCAATGACAAGTGTAGGTCAAAGTTAACTCCTACGATCGACTTTATAAATGACATTTAGATTATACTTAATGATATTTGTATTAACAAATACGCGATGTTAAAATACGAAAAGTTTTAAAATCGCATCCAATACAAAATCCATATTGATTTTATATACCAGTGTTTAGTATTTGTGCTAAATTGTAATGGAATTTAAATTTAAAATTTTGAATAGAAATTTGAATTTAAAATTTTATAACTAGATTTTTCGAGAACATACAGGAATATAGAGCAATAATTGGCAGTGATGTCACCGGCATTACTGTTTTAAAATACTTCA